GAGACTTCTGAGTTCCTTTGGGATCTTGATCTTTTATGAATCCTGCTCTTCCATCAGATACCTACGCTATTACACTTCTATTCCAAGACAGAAAATTTATCCTAATCCATAAATTATTCTTATATTCTTTTGTGCCTTGTATACAGTTGGTGCTCACAACTGCTTTCTCAGAGGAAGTACTTTCAGCAGTGAATGTATAGACTTCTTTCCCTGACATTTCTGGCCCTCTTGATTCCCTTACAGACAGTCACTGTTTCAAAGATGATCAATGGGCTAAGCACGCTTCTGAATTCAGAAATGCTGCTGAATGAGTAGAGCCCCACAATGCCTTTGACCAGTAGTCAGTTATTCTTAGGACAAGACCCCACGTTCACCTTGCAATACACCTATAGCCCTCTAGGAGGCAGTGACTCTCAGATTGGAGTCCACTGTTCTGGTTAATATAGGTCTTTGCTTTTCCTGAGTTTGACTGATTTTGAGGTTCTGTTCCCATCCTGCACTTTTGTTCTGGCTACATCTTCCACCTGAAATGACCTCTCAAATGTACCTTGATCTCTATGTGTACAAAGCGCATCCGTCTTTCTTTAAAGCCTCAACCCAAATGCCAACACCACTGAAGTCTTTTTCTGATTCCATTCAAGTAGGAAGAGGATGTATGCCCCTTACTGTGCTGGTATAGAGCTCTTTCTGCTTGGCACTCATTTATAGCACTGGCTGCCTGATTTGGACAGTTTGTGAACCGGTGACATTCACAAAGAAAAGATAAAAGGGGAGTTTCAATAGAGAACTATTCTAATAAAGAACAGTAGTTGGCCAACTTCTGATTTGCCAACATGTCTTTGAAAGGAACAGGTCTTGTCAATGCCATCATTTCCTCAAAGAGGCCTATTTAAGCACACAAGAGGAAGAATTGTATCATGTCACAGCACAAGAGTCATTTTAGTAATCAAATAAGTTTAGTTGTATGAAAATTTTCTCCTGTTTATGAGTCCTTGTGAAGAATCTCTCACAGATCAGCCCTGGCCCAGAGAGGCTCCCTGGCATCTTCATCTTCTCTCCTTGTTCATATCTCTTTCCCTTCATCATGGCTAGCCTGTCTCTCATGCATCTGAATTAATATGGTCTCCCTGATGAAGCCAGGCTCCTGGGAAGCAATGTCAAACTATTTGATGAAACACCATAAAGTGCAGAGATGTTGTTCTTTTTTCAGAATAGTCTGGTTCCTTATCCCCTAAGTTGGTCTATAAACCCTGTGAAGTAGCTGTACTGGGAACAAGGCGGCTTGCAATACCTATACAGCCCTCTAGGAGGTGGTGGCTTTCAAGTTGAACTCCAGTGCTCTGGCTTTGTTCTTCCTGATTGTGACTGATTTGGAAATTCTGTTCCCACTCTTGTACCCTCAGTATCTTTAGCCTTTTGCAGAAGGAAGCGGCATTGAGGAGTCACTTTGATTTCTGCCTGCTAACTAGCACTGAAGGAAATCATTTGGTCCTAACAGGAAGGCACTTTCCATCGTCTATATGAGACCAGAGCACACTCCATTAGCAGCATCATGGTAGATTTTTGATAAATCCTGAAGAGATCTCCAAAGAGCTGTCTCACAGTTCATGATGTTGGCTCTCTTTGTTAGTTCTGAAGACACTCTTGGTTGAGCTTGAGCCTGCTCATGCCTGGTGTTACATTCCTGACATCCCCTGTCCCTTGAAGCAACAGCAAGAGAGAGTGGAGACCAAAGACAGCCTGGCGCAAGGTACATCTCGGTCACTGAGTACCGGGATGTCTTGTGACTCCTTTGAGCTGCCTTTGATCACTGCCCCTCTAGGATCCCTGGGAGAGCTGTGCCAAAAGAGACATTATCCTGGGTCAAGACATTTAACCACAGACCCCCCGGAACAACACAGACTGAACCGTCCTGTGTGGGCTGAATGGCTGGTACTCAGATAGTCGGTCTGTGGGTACCAAACTCTTCTTTGATCATTGGTGTGTAAATCACTGACGATGTCGAGTTAATCACGCACTGGAAACGGTTCCTCTCTCTGAGTTAATGAGCCCGACACTCTGAGCAGAATCTGTTTACTCACTCTACTTTCAAATCTTGGGCAGTTTGAACAATGAATTGTACCCAATAATTTCTCTTTGTTTTTAGGCAATAGGGAAAAATTTTCTTTTCTCCCGCAAAACACATAGACTCATTGGACAGAACTATTTTGTTGTCTTCTTTTTATTTTATGTCGAGTGTGTGTGTACGTGGGGGTGGTGTGGACTGTGTGTGTGTGCTTGTGTGTGAAACAGACACACACCTGCTACTGCACATCTGTGGAGGTCGGAGGGAAACCTCTGGTGTTGGCATTCACTTTCTTTTGTTGGAGGCAGTCTCTTGTCTGCACTGTGAGTACCTGGGGGTTGCTGTGGGCAAGGACAACAGCCTGGAGGGCTTGCCAGAGGGACAGCACCAGGGTAGCTGGCCCACCAGCCTCCAGCCAAGCTCCAATGCCTGCCTCCCGCATCCCTCTAGGGATATGCTGAGATTGGTTGGCTACACCTAGCTTTTATGCGAATCCTAGGGATCTGAACCCACATTCTGAGGCTCACGTGGCATGCACCTGACCCCACTGAACTATCTCCTCAGTCCCCGAAATCCTTTTTTCTCATTTAAAAAAAAATTCTTTATAAGAATTAGAAGGGACATGTGTGAATGTGTGTGTGCTCGCGTGTGTGTGTGTGTGTGTGTGTGTGTGTGTGTGTGTGTGTGTGTGTATGAGTGTGCACATGTGTGAGAGAGGGAGAAAGGAGGGGGTGGAGAGGGAAAGAGGGAGATTTTTGTCCTTGGTTTTTCTGAGTCACTGCCTAGTAAGTTCAACCACAAACCAAGAGTTTCACTGGTGAGATTTTTTTTTTTTGTCTCATCCATAACAACCACAGAGGCAACATTTCTCCCATTTGTGTGTGTGTGTGTGTGTGTGTGTGTGTGTGTGTGTGTGTGTGTGTGTGTGTGTGTGAATGTGGAGACTGGGAAAGCATCATTCCTCCCTTTGCCAAAGCTGTGCATCCTTACAACGGCCTGAGGACTGGAGGTGGGTGCACTCTAAGGCCCTGAGCCCTGGCTCTGTGATCCCTGACTGGCCCTCCAGTGGGAACCTCACTTCCCTTCAAGTCCCAGTGCCAATGGTTCTTCCCTGCTCTCCCTGGGGCAGCCCAGCTCACAGGCAGAGGATCAATGTGTCCGTGGCAGCTGCCACTTAACAAGCTCTCGTCACTTCCCTGAGCCTCGGTACCCCCATCTTACCCCCAGGGAACGATCATGGTGTCTTTGCGTATGTTCTTAGGAGGATGGAATGTGGTGATATAAGGAGAGGTCATACAGTCCTCTCTAGTGGCAACTCTATTGCTATTCTTTGTGAAGCACGTCCTATGTGCCAGGTCAGCCCTCACTGACCCCAGAGCTCATCGTTCGGCTAGCCTGGCTGGCTGCCTTGCTCTGAGCATTCTCTGTCTATGCCTCTACAGGTTGGAATTACAGGTAGCCATCATACGTGGGTCCTGGGGACCTGAACTTTGATCCTTAGGCTTATATAGCAAGCACTTTATCTCCTAAGCCCTCTCTCCAGTCCCATCTGGACTTTTTCTATGCAAATGATTAACAGTGCCTTCATTAGAATTTATAAGAGATGCTAAGAGATGATATATATATTGAGACAAGGTTTCTCTGTGTAGCTTTGGTGCCTTTCCTGGAACTCACTCTGTACCCTGGGCTGGCCTCGAACTCACAGAGACCCACCTGCCTCTGCCTCCCTAGTGCTGGGATTAAAGGCAGGCGCCACCACCGACTGGCTGCCTTAAATATATTTTATGGACTGCTTTGGGTGTTAAAATGTGGAGTTGAAGAATATAAGCCATTAAAATGGCCACATAAAGTGAAAGGCGAGCTATTCTACAAAGCTCATAAGAAGAATCAAGGTTGTGGATCAGCAGGAGAGGAAGAAAAAGGAGCCTGAGGGAGAAGGGAGGCGGTGGGGGAGATCCTTGATGTGAGAAATGGGTAAAGCTGTCCAAGTCCAGGATGCTTTACTTCTAACTTCAAGTGTGTTGCTTTACTGCAGGGTACAGATTGTAGACTCAGGCTGACAAAGTCTGTTTCACAGAATGAGACTCCTGTTGGTGGTGTTTTGGGGAGTGGATGTTGAGGGGTAGGGTTCTGAATAAGAAGACACAATTTGGGAAAGAGAAGAGCATGTTGGGATGCTGATCTGATAGCCCACAATCTGAACCATCTAATACACCAAATACCCCAAATTGGAGAAATAGAAGCCCCCTTCTTAGCCCCAGGGGTTCCCAAAGTAATAGGAAGGAGCCTGGGTCTCCCATTAATTAATAGATCCAAGTCTGCAGTAATTTCCTTTTGAATTTCAAAGAACAGAGTAGCACTAAAAGATGTGTGTGAAATATAGGATGCTCTGCTTCCCTGTTTAGGCTCCTGGGTTTACAGATGGGGAAACTGAGGCCATGTGGGCAGAAGGAGGCTAATGGAGGTCTCATTTGATGGCTGCCCAATGAGCCTTCTTCCCTGAGCCTGTGGTAGGAGACATTAGGCAGGGTTAATGAGCCAGCTCCTCTATCTACTGGCAGCCTGGGTCTGCAGCACTCAGCTCAGATTTAGGCAAAATATCACAGACTCCCAGAAGCACTTTCACTTTTAAAGGGAAATTGTCAGGATGTAAGTGAAGGCTATCTTGCCAGAGGCATGAGTGTGTTTGTTGGAGGTGTTTGAGTGGACTGTGGGAAGGACGGATAGCCTGTGACCGGAAAGAGGAGAGGAAGGGGTTGCATTTGGCTCCATCTCCTGCTTTTAGCTCTTGCTGGGGTCGTCATTCCAGAACGGTGTCCCAGGAAATTAGGTCTTGCACGTAAACTGTAGGGAGGGGGGTCACTTAGCAATGTTAACTCAAGACTCCAGTGGGCTAGAGGATGAAACACAAGTCCCCCCACTTGCCTCCCTACAGGGTCCACATTTCCAGGACTCACCACCCCTTAGGGATGGATCATGAAATGGAGATGTCTTGGCTGAGAAGGAGCAGACTCCATTATACTCATGGATGCCCTAGAAAGGATTCACTAGCCCACCAATACCCAGAACTGGCTGCTGTTGCTGTTTGCAAGAACCTGAACTGTAACACCGACATCGGAGCCCCACCATCCTTTAGCTATGGAGAAGAGGATGCTCCTGTGTTTCATGGGTGCGTAGGACTAAGATAACATCACCCAGAGTACCCGCTGTGGTTGTTTATTTACCTCTAAGTGGGTGTTACCTTTTTTTTCCTATTCAATTCTCATTATAAAAGTAATAGATTTTTTTCCCCCTTAGACAAAGATGTACAATCTAGCTAAAGAAGAGAAGAAACTTCAGCCATCATTTTATAATTCAAAAAATGATCTCATTTTCATTTGGGGGCATATCCCTGTGTTTGTTTCTATAAGCATGGCTTTTTAATGGAAATGGACCAAGAACGTATAGACTTTGGTGATGTAAATGGATCATTATTTCCTTAACAAGACTTACGATGGCAAGCATTTGTTGAAATTATTTGTCGAAAAGCGAGATGCCAAGCTAATGAAGGCTCCACTAATGGACAGAGCACGGTTCTTATAATCCAGATTAATATGCAACTGAACCGATCAGGGGCAGACAATTCATCCATTTATTTAACAACCAGATTGAGTTATCTACTTCACTTCAGACAGCTTACCACACAGGGGATGCAGTGGCTCAGAGGCCGCCTGAAGCGTACACACGCTGGGCGGAGACAGGACGTAAATAAATAAACACGGGAGTGGATACATTGCTGCGGTTAAATGTAAAGAGGGCTCTGATAGTGTAAAGAAGAATAAGATGACGTCTGCAGACACTGAGAGCTAGGGCGGGGCACTATTGTCTTCAGTTTCATGATGTTTTGTTTCCCAGTGAGTGCAAAAGCAATGGATTCTTTATGACATGTTCCATACATGTTATTGTGCTTTGTTCGTATTTACCCTCCATCAGACTTCCCGGTCCCACTTTCCCTTCTTGGCCTACTCATTCTTCCATATGCATATAGCGATATAGAATATAGGATATACACATACATGACATATACATGGTGCATGTATTTGCCACGCATATTCACATATGTATATACACATATGCCACATATTTATATGTGTATGTCCTATATATGTCATATATGTATCCACACAGATATATATACACATATGCATCACTTGAATGTATGGCCCACATAGATTCCCCTCACAGCTCTCTCTCCATTCACCTCTCTCTCTTCTCCTTCCCCCACAAACCCTCACATCCATCTATATATAGCTATGGATATAAACCTAGATTCCCATCACGAGAGAAAACATATATTTCATGTGACGCTGCTACAAATGTTCTTGAGGTGCTGGAACCAGAGCAAGGCTCTGAAGTCGGGAACAATGTCCTGTGCAACTATCGAGTCCCAAATGGACCCGTGTCAAGTCAGATGGGGCAGGCAGACGGGGCAGTGGTTGCTAACGGGGACATCCATACCCGGTTTTATTGTGACCAGCGAGGACATAGGCACAGGTGCTTCCCAGGAGGCCCAGAGTTAGATTCTGTAGCATCTTGAAGGCACAGTGGGATGTTGGGGTGGTGGATGATAGTGACTTCTGAGAAGGTTGCCTGCAGAAGGTAGGCTGTGTATTTTCAAAGGTTCTTTTCTACCTCAGTGTGGAGACCCCTCGGGAAGAGGCAAGAAGAAGAGCCAGAAGTTGGGGTGGAGGAGGGGGCAGTAGAATCATGTGGGGAGAGAGATAATCAGAGTACGGATGAGGACCTGGTAATGGGGGAGCGGGGGAGCAGGGATCAGAGTTGAGGGGAGAGCTTAAGGGCTGAGCCTTTTGGATGCTGAAAGATGGGCTCTGGGGTGAGGAAGGGACTTAGTTAAAGACGGCTGAACAGCCAGGTGGTCCCACAGTGGAGAGGGGGAGAACAGTGGGAGAAGAGTTGGGGAAATTGGATGTTTGATTTTAAGTTTAAGATCTTGGTTGGAATTTGCTTTGGGTTTTATTGATGTGAAGAGAAACCATGACTGGGGCAAATCTTATAAGGGGAGATATTTAAGTGGGGCTGGCTTACCGTTTCAGAGATTTAGTCCATTATCGTCATGGAGGCAGGCATGTTGCTGGAGAAGGAACCTGAGGGTCGTACATCTGGATTGGAAGGCAGCAGGAAGAGAACCTCTGAAACCTCAAGCTCTCCCTCAGTGACACACTTCCTCCAAGTGTGTCACATAAGGCCCCACCTACTCCAACAAGGCCACACATCCAAATCCTTTCAAATAGTGTCACTCCCTATGAGCATATGGGGGCCATTTTCATTCAAATGACCACAGAGTCCAAAGTGGATATCTTAATCCTACAGTGAGATATATACATGCTGAGGCCAGAGGATGGATTGAAAATGAAGATGTTTTACAATTTTTAGCATGTAGATGCTCATGAGAGCCATGGGACTACATGGGAAAATGATTACATGAAAGAGAGTGAGAGAGAGAGAGAGAGAGAGAGAGAGAGAGACAGAGAGAGAGACAGAGACAGAGACAGAGAGAGACAGAGACAGAGACAGACACACAGAGAGACAGAGAGAGACAGAGAAAGATACACACACGCACATGCGCGCGCGCGCACACACACACACACACACAGAAAGAGAGAGAGAGACAGAGAGACAGAGAGAGAGAGAGAGAGACAGAGACAGAGACAGAGACAGAGAGAGAGAGAGAGAGAACTTGAGCTCCAATGGGGCTGGGGACTGTGGCAGCATCTTTTTAACATTTGTTTGAGAGGAAAATTGGCTGGACCAATATTCTTCTGTGAAGTGTGTGTGTGTGTGTGTGTGTGTGTGTGTGTGTGTGTGTGTACACATGTGTACATGTGTACATGTGTACATATGTTCATGTGGAGGCCAGAGGTGTATGTCAATTTCTTCTCCAGTCACTGCCCACCTTGTTTTTTGAGACAGGCTCTTTCACTGAACCTGGAGCTTATCAATCCATCTAGACTGGCTCACTGGCAAGCCACAGGGATCTTCCTGTCTCTGTCACCCCAGCGTTGGGATGATAGGTATCTTGGTGCTTGTGTGGTAATAGCTTTACTCACTGAGCCCTGCACCCCCCCCCCCAACCCCTCAGGTCAGACATGTATTCTTGATGGTGAGAGTCTTGGTAAGAGGGTGCCTGCAGATTCCATCTAGAGAGGGGTGGAGGTGAGCTCAGAGTCTTAAAAAGAATGCCCTACAGCTCTGGGATACAAGATGGGGATGGATGCAGGAGGCAGAGGAAAAGAGGTCAGACCAGAAAGAAGAGAGCCTGGGTGACTGATGTCCAAGCTGATATTCAAAACAAGCCCAGGGTGGTTGTTCTCTGTGAGCAGGTGATAACTTCCGGTTGATTTCCCGAGGCCAGGAGCTTCTGCCGCTTTCAGCAGTCAGCCTCCCCATCTTCCCAGACGCTGCTGACTCAGTGCCTGAACTGGCTGGCCAGGGGGTTTCACCACATACCCTGAGTAATTTGAATCGCACGTGACACTGCCCACTGCTGAGAGTGCACCCATTATTTTGGAACCCGTGAAATTTAAAAGAAAGCTTTCGAGGCAGGCACTTAGTGCAAGGGTCTGGGTAAATGCCCAAATCTAAGAGCTCCTAGGTGGATCTTCTCTCCCTCCTTCCCTCCTCTTCCCCGGCCTGTGTGCGTGCATCAAGCCACCATCATAGCTCCGCTCATTTAGAGCCACTAACTAGGAAGATGCTCTTGCCCTGGGGTAGGAGCTGGACTTGGTGTCACGAACATAAAAATTTAAGATGGGAAGTAAGGGAAAGAATTTCTCAGGTCTGCTGTAGCTAAGTGGTGACATTTTGGTCGGAAATTCTCCAAAACCAGTCAGAGCATGAGTCTGTTACATTGTAATTATTTGAGGACATTTTAAAAATAAATATCCATAGCCCACTTCAGAGCTGAACTCTTGCAAGGAGTGTATTTTGAAAAGGTCCTCAGGTAATTCTGATGTTCAGGCCAATTTGGGAATTCAACTGTAATATTCAAGGGGACATAAGGCCCCTGGTGAAAAATGGTGTCACTTTTCACAATTGCATCTTACGGTTTTGTTGAAATGAGGTCTCCTGGGAGAATCCTCCCCGCACAGGGGTACTCCCTGGTGGGTCTTCTGACATTATCTGTCAAGTCAAAGGCATCCTCAGCTCCACATCCATTGCAGTATCACTTCCAGGTAGGAGGTGCAGAGTCCTGGCTTCTCCAGAAGAAGAATCCCACCCCCACCCCCGGGTGACTGACAGTCTCACCAATGTCAGCTGGGGGGAGGGGCATGCTGCTGGTGCAGCTGGCCCCGGGGTAGCCACACCTGCGAGAAGCCTGCCACTCTTCTGAATCACAGCCCTGCCTGGAGTTGTGACCTGGGCTGCTCCATTTGTGGGTGACTTGAGTGTCCATTCCGCAGGACAGTCAACCAAGTTGAGGAAGCAGCTGCAGTAGAGAAATGGAGGCCATGAGTGTGCAAGATCGTTCTAGAAATCGACCTCTCCCTCTTTGTTTGGTGGGAGGGCACACCCACCCTTCCTTCCAGTGCAGAGGGATTCTCTGCGGACATCACGGAGGCTGCAGGTCTCAGAACCCTGCCTTCCGTCTCCCCAGAGCGGGAGCTGGTTTGGGGATAGGGAGAGTCCCTGCATCTCGTTCCTTGAATTTGAATGTGCGCAAGACTCTTCTAGACACCCCGGGTTTGTTGTGTGACAGATGCTTCCTGGGGATACTCAACACACACACACACACACACACACACTCACACACACACACAAACACAGACATCTAGAGACAGATAGACAGAAAAACAGACACAGATAGACAGAGACAAACAGA